TCCTTCACATCATCAATGACCACAAACTTGGTCTTGATGGGTCCCGTCATTTTTAGGCAGCTCGCGGCTGCCACCAGGAATCTGTGAGTTCTCCAAATTTTCAGAGACAAAGAACCAGCCAGAAATTGATGTTCGTAGCCGAAGCTGTTCAAAGAAGAGGACTTGGACAACTAGTCGAAGAGGTAGCCTCTCGTTCTGGGCTGCATGTGTGCTGGCATCGAGTGAGAGCTTCTGGCAATTCATGAGTCTACAGATGTGCTCTCTCTCTATGTCTGTAATCCAAGGGTGTGCCTGCAGTTGTGGAACATAAATATGATGGTAACGCTTCCTTTTGCTCAGGACTTAAAACATATGTATGAAATAAATTCTTTGTTCTAAAGGAAGTGTATGATACGCGTGAAGGCATTACCAAGTATCTTTCATTTTAGAAGCAAGTTAGACACACCCCAGATTCAAAAAATTTGATTATTTAAACAGCAGAAAACATACACAAAAAGAAATCCACCACAAGCATAAGAACTTCAGCACTCTCATCTGGTGAATATCCAGATGTGAGTTCATAATGACAGATTATACTGATATTGAATATTAAATCACAGAGAGAATAACTGGACACTGACTTTAAGCATATGTCAAAGTAAGATGATTGAAACTCGGCATGAAATTAAGATAGCATTACCTTTAAATACACATCAATTGCATGATAAATCCCATCATCTACAGGTCTGACATAATCAGGAATGACAGCAGCAAGTGCCTCAAATTTGGGAAGCTTTAAATGAACATCTGGAGCCACCTCAGCTAGATATCCATCCACCAAATTTGCCACCATGGTCATAGGTGTCAATGATTCAGGTCCATTCATCACTTGCACTTCTTCAGTTATGCTGTGGGGAGGTGAAATAGCTGCAGCATGCTCAACTGACATGAAGTGATCGAGAATCCTCTGAACACAGTCTATATCATAGAGGGTCTCTGAGTAGCCCATGTTTGGTATGAGTAGATCCACGAGGGAAGCTTGGTCCAACTGAATTCCCACCCTTTTTTCCAAATTTTCTCGACATGCTGGACTTGCATGTAAGACCATGGCAGTCCTAAGCAGCCTAAGCAAAAACTTTGTTGATGTCACTCCCTTCTTAATTGGGAGTAACAGAACAATCTCCTCAAGATAAACTCTTTGTTCTGCCTCAGAAGGAACGGAAATACTTGCCATAGGGCTAACAAGGTTTACCTCATCCAAGTTTGATTGTCGATTTATAACTGGTATGTGCCTGTTGGCATAGGACATGAGGGCTGCAGCAATACTCTCAGGCTTCAAGCCTCTTAATTCAACAGCTAAAATCAATCGCTTATATAAAGGTAAGCATAGGACAGAAGCATCCTCGTACCACCAGTCATCACCTGTAGGTTGTGGCTTATTTGCAGTTGATATTCCATTCCATAAGGCTTTGTCTTCTGGGCTCTGCGCATTACTTTTTGAAGACACAGGCCAATTAAATAAGTTTGGATCAGCACAGGCTTTCATTGCCAAGGAATCAATGCATCTTGAGACAATGTGAAGCTCTTCAGCATATGGAAGAACTTCTTCACATGTTTGAAGAGCTTTAATTGAATCTGTCCAATTTTCGAAGACTTTGTTAATGAATGCCTCTGTTTGCCCAACAAGGTTTCCTTCTCCATAATTATCAGTCATTTGAAGGTACTCTGCTGCACATCTAAGGCTGACTACATTCAAAGCCGTGAGCTCTATTTTAACACCATAGCAAAATTTGGTTATAAGTTCAAAGGTTTTGCCACCGCCAGGTATGCCACTAAGGTCCAAAATACAAGCTGATCCGTCCACAGTGGAATGTTCTTCAATCAGCTTCTCTAATAGACCACTTCTTGAAATAAGTGGAAACTACAGCAGATGCCAAACCAAGAGGTTAAAATTAAAATGCAGACTAAAAAGTGATGCAGTACAGTTGAATGGAAAGTGTTTAAAGATGGAAGGGAAGAGCACCAGGTCATGAAGAAAATAAGAAATCAAAACGTATAGACAGACACATATAGCTTACAAACAAGAAAAATCATCTCTAAACCTTGAAAGAAATAAACAAAATGCACCTTGTGAAGATCAAAAGTAATTTCTCCAACTTCAATGGTAACATCACTTGGAAGCCCAGTGGTGCAATACCTGAAAGGAATGCATGAATATCCATTATTAAGAAAAATATATTAAGCCATTAAGAAGTGATGCAATGGATTTTCAGGCATCAACTAGAAACCCAGAATGTGTTTATACTGACTTAATATGCACTGTTGGCAGAGTGACAGTAATAGCGCAAATGGCAAAATCATAGGAATAACATCTGGGGAAAGGTAGATTTTTGTTATGTTATTTCTTTTGAAGACCTTAACCTGATTAATCAATCAACAATTAATTTATAACACGGTGTCCATGTCCTTATCTGCATCCTTAAAAGCTGAAGTATCTGATTAAACAGAATATTTCTTCTTTTAATACCTAACTATCAAACGTCAAAGTTGTTCATCTCAAAAAATTAAAAAGAAAAAAGAAAAACTATCAACCACCATGATCACACCCATTATGTTAACATATATCTAGAGGCAATAATAAATTATATTGAGACGTATGCCTATTCAAATTTCAAACTGGAGTTGTCAATACATCGATTTGCAAATATCATTTGGTAGTTTTGGATATACCTCACATGTCCATAACATTCTTGACATTTACCCAGTAAGGAAGATGCCTCAGAATCATTAAAAATTGACCTACACTTTTCCATCTCCGGAGCGAATAAAACAGAACAAAAAAACCTTTACTTAGAAAAGGTGTGACTCGATGCTTACCCATATTTTCAACAACTACTTCAGTTTCTGATATTCCTTGTAAATCAATAAATTTTACCTAAGATGAATGCAAATTTAGAGAAGAGTTTAGGCCTTGTTGTTTTTGGTAAACGCAGATTATTACGAGAAATTTTGTCAGCTGAAGAAGTGAGTTTCAAAGGATTTCCAGTACTAACTTTTATAAATAAAATTTCAAACTTCTATTTCTGCAAGTCATAGGTACCAACTGGTTTTTTCCTGTCTAAATGACTTGCAAAAATCTCATGTTACCACCATGTGCAAAATGTATGATCCTCCTATATCCTCATTTCAACACAAAAGCAACAAACATCTATCTCGCATCTGCTGATTTAACCTGTAAAGGGAATTATAAAAAAAAATTAAAGAAAAGAAAAAGAACGAAGCGTACCAGGTTTGGCCTTCACGATGGAATATTTCAGATTTAGAGCCAAGCCTCATAAAAGCCATTGCCGTATTACTAGAATCGACGAATGAGGAGGTCTAGAACTATGACAAGCATGGAGAGTAATCGGAGGATGATAGCAGAACAAAATTGAATAGGGCATGATTGTCATTTCGAGCAGTTCTTTTGTGAGAGAGAGAGAGCGAGTCCAAAGCAAAAAGTGAAAGAGAGAAGGAAGCAGCTCCAGTTGGCTGCATTTGGAGTGAGGACTTGACTGTGATCTCCTCATTTTTCTCCTAGCTTGGATTCAGTCTTCAGTCCCTACCGCTGAGGAAGAAGAAAGAAATATTATAGATACTAACGGCCTGTTTGGCAAAGATACTTCTATCAGAAATAAATAAAAGTTATAGATGTTTTAAAAAAGAAAATTAATAATTTATACGGTAGGAATTAAATAATTTTCATAAATTAATAAATAAAAGATTTTTAAAGTAAAAATATAATATTAATTCAGTATCAATAGTTTTATATTTATTGTAAATTATTAAATTAATATCCATTATATAATTAGATAGTAATAATACTTTATATAACATCTCAAGCTCGAGAATAATAAATTTCGAAATAAGGAAGATTGATTTTTTTATATGATTAATGATCATAATAATAATAATAATAATAATCAAAATAATAATGAGAATAATAGTAATTAATAAGAAAAATATATTGAAATAAAATAAAGCAAAATAATTAATAAAAGTTCTTCCGGAGACTTTTTTGAAAAATAAAATTTTTTAGAAGGGCTATTCTGTGATAAAAATAAACCTATTTGAAATGAATATGAATGACTAGGGGTCACTATATAATTTCAAGAAAATGGGCCACGTGAACGCTCAGTCAGCAATGCGGTGAATTGCCACACGTCGTGTGGCAGCTGCATCAACACAGACTCCACACGGAAAGCCTATGCTGGCAATCCGCATGCCAGGAGGATCAAACGGCTCATGGTCGCTCCCGCGCACACGAATGGTCCAGATTCATGCCCTAAATAGGTTTGATCGAACGGTTCCCGTTGTTCCATACAGACCCGAAAGGACGGCCCTGATCGAAGGGAGAGAGGTATTTAAACCTCTTTTTGGTCAGCCTTCCAAAACCCTAGTCTCCAAGTCGACTGGAGAAGGAGAAGCAGGGACACCAGAGGGAGCTCAAGTGTCGGAGGAATGATGGCGCCGCTATGCCAGAAGTCGAAAACGACGCTGGTAAGCTTAATTTTCTCCCATTCTTCCTATTTTTCCATTCTTAACCATTTTTTAAACATTTTCAACATATATTGATCCGAGAAAGGCCACGAACTGAGAGGGAGAAGATGTGCAAGTCAGACTCGATTGCGGTAAGCTGTCTGCCCCCCCTCCGTTCTGTTTCTTTCCTTAGACATTAATAGTGTGATATTTTTCATTTAGCAAAGAAAAAGAAAGAGGAAAAAAAAGGAAAATAGGTGAAAGCCAAGAGTGAAGGAGATCATCGCGATTGGTGGTTACGAGGAACAATGCCACCACCGTCTGATTTGGGTAAGGATACTTAAACCCTCCCCTTTGTAACAGCTAATCGAAGTTCAAAGAAAAAAATATATATATAATAAAATAAAATGATAAAATAAGTGGATATATATATATATGTTTAGATATACTTGACTGACTCAAATCTAATATGTACCATGGTTGTCTAATTCGATATCCCAGTTGCTGATCGAGCTAACA